TCTTTTCAGCCTTCAAGGCAAAATACAAATTTTGAACAAAATCCGTAGTATTGTTCTGAGAACATCCTGAACTCTAAAGAAGTCGTATACTTTAAATTCAATTTCTCTAAAACTATTTACCCGATTTTATTTAAATTTTATATTTTGGTATATAAAAATAATACATTCTTAAAATTGATATAAGGCTTTTGATCGCTATTGGGAGCATATTTGACACAGTGCGGCTACTCTCTGTATTTTGAGGCACAGAAATTCACATCCGTCCAAAACAGGTATGTTTATTCAGAGAAAGTATGTTTTTTGCGTTTAATTTTGCAACTTAAAATATCGGTTGCATTCATTAAGTAGCACATCTAAGATCACCCTTTTGAACCATTAAGATTGTGCCCTAGTACGTGAAGATCCGATCATTAAATCATAAGTTATCCAGGACACTGTACAATCGTACATGCACAGTCCATACATACCGCTATTCTATACATAGTAGGCAGCTAGATGTTTTTAAAACATTTTTCTTAGCAATAGTTATATTTCAAAGTCTTGTATTCATAGAAATATATAATTAAAATATTAATTAAAGAGGAATTTATTTATTATTATTTTTCAGATGCACCAACATGTAAAGGCATTGGAAAGTCACTGTACGGTGTTACAAGAGGGGAAAGCGTGAATATTACTTGTGAATTAGATGCTGATCCAGATGATGTCATCTTTCGTTGGTCCCTAAACAATTCGGTTGAAAATGTAGAATTGATGAACTTTACTTCCAAAAAAATTCGTAGCATTCTTACGGTAACTCCAAAAGCTCTATTGGATTTCGGTGTGATTATGTGCTGGGGGACAAATGCAGTTGGTGAACAAAAGGAACCATGTGTGTCTAGGATTATTCAAGCTGGTATTTAATATTTAATTTATATAAGGATACAGAACGAAACATTATACGATAAATTTCGTATAATGTTTTATTAATTATATATATATATGTACTGTTACTTGAAAATTGTGTTGGGGACCAATTTATTTTTTCTTTCTGTCGTAATAGATTTTTTAACAGAACTTGGATTTATTCGTATAGTTGATTTCGAATCTACAATTAATTTCTCTCAATGAACTACTGTTTTTCAAATGACATTCTTAATCAATTTTTTGTCAAAATGAAAAAGTCTCAAAACGTTATATATATATATATATATATATAGATAATTCTTAAAATCTTGCGACAGATTTCTAAGAAAGTTAGGGAACATCTTCAGGATTAAAATTGTACAAGATCCCATGTCGAGAAATGTTGCCATATGCCGCTAGAGACGCTTCCTTATTATGAACTGTTTCTTTACGTGTTTCTGAAAATGTCAAAATAGGGACGCCCCTCCAGCAACACACAGTGACATTGTCGGGTATCTGTGAAATTTTAATTCCTGTGCCCTAACTCCCCAGGAAGTTAGTCGCAACATATACCCGACACACTGTAACGCTTTTAAACTTGTGCAGTTTCACAATATATATAGACTAAAAATGGCATTAAGAAATATATAGCTTTATTAGGAGCAAAATTAATTTCAGATTTGAAATTTCCAAATTATGCAAGATAAAGCATTTGTATAAATGGAAATAAAATTTTTTTTCCCTGTGTTATGGAAATAATTTATGTAAATTCTATTTAAAACAGATTTATCAGATCTAACATCATTTAAACTTAACTTAAATTACCAGATTTAATCCGATTTCTTTGTATTTTCATGAAGTTCCTCTCCAAGTAACTTTTCAAGTAAGGGTTTACATTAAGTACTCAAGCTAGCTATTGATTTTTAGGCTTAACTAATTTCAGATATGAAAGCTTACTATGTTAATTAGGCATGTTCCATTATTTGAATAAAAGCAAAAAAATTTGTTCTTCATTGTTCTGGGAATATTTTATATAAACTCTGTGGACTAAAACAGGCTTTTCAGATCTAACATCATTTAGGCTTTGCTTAAATTGCCAAATATAATTTGATTTCTTTCCTTTTCATGAAGTTCCACCCCAAGTGACTTTGCAAGTTGGCGCTAACATTAAGTACTCTACGATCAAGGAAGGCAATGATGTGTACCTGGAATGTGTAACTAAGTCAAATCCTGGAATAAGAGAATTAACTTGGTTTTTCAATGGTGTTCCTTTTTATGGCAATGCATCTACTGGTATTTTAATCTCCAATCAGTCTTTGGTATTGCAAAAAGTTAGGAAGGACAATAGAGGGAGATACAAATGCTCTGCTGCAAACACTGAAGGTAAAGGTGAAAGCTCGGAATTGTCACTTGAAGTACGATGTAAGTTTCAAAATATATTTATATTTCTCTGCAATTCATTAATTTCAGCAAAATCCTTTTCACGCACGAGACAATAGCAACGTATAATCGAATAAATCTTTTATTTCCTTGATTTTTTTTATTAACTTCAATAAACTCAAAATAGGAATGTTGTTAATTCTGCATTTCTGATAAGACCATTTGTTGATTAATTTCAAGCCTTACGTCCAGATGATGTCAATAGGATAACACTACATGACAGCCAGACACAAGCTGTCAATCTGAAGCTGAAGTTAAATGTGCAATGTTCAAAATTTTGAAAAAAATCATAATGAAAAATTATTTTTGCGGTAGAATACGTGAGAACAGCAACGTAGAAAGTGAAAATAAAATTGTTTCTAAGATATACAACCTAATTACTCCTGAAATATACAAAATTTTTGTTGCTATAAACAAACTTTTCACTTGCACCAAAAAATAGATGATAGAACTAAGATACAGTTAAAAAAGAGTTTTAAGACAGAGTTCCAACTATATCCAAACACACGGATATACATCCAATAAGCAATCGAGTTACAACAAGTAATTAGTGCTTGATCCTTACTGTGACTGAATTGTAATAAGTATTTCTAACTTTTGTAACTCCGTTACAAATAAAATTTAGTTGTTCCTTATTTCCCCGATGATTGGATACAGACGATGCTTCTCAATAGCGTTAGCGTTTATTTTCTTTCTATCTCTTCCTTTTCCTGTCGTCTAGAAAATTGTCGGTGACTATAGTTACGAGGTTAAACTATTTCAAGTAAGGGTATAGAGAACATTTAGAGCATTTTTCGAAGTTGATCGGCAAAAGAAGTAGCAAAAGCTTCTCTCTTTGTGTCCGTGACAGTAGAAAAAGCTATACTCTGCCACGGAAGGAGTTCTTTCGTCAGGCAGACTGTAAAAGCGGGTCAGTATTAGATATTTGTATTATTTTTTACACAACTGTTATTTTTAAGTAAGTTCCTTACTGGTCAAAGATTATACCAAATCAATTGACTTAAACAAGTTTAAAATGTTGGTACTAAATGTAGAGTAACAAAGTAAATAAACAAGTAAAATAACAGGAAATAACTTTTGATCGAATCGGATTTTCACACATACTGAAACTCAATGGTTCACGGTTTACAGGTTTCATCTTAAATATGCTAATTACTTAGTTTAAATCATATTTTAAATTGAGAAATCAGGCACAAAAACATACTTTCTCTGAATAAAGATTTTTACACAAAACATACATACAGCACAAAACGTAACTTTTTTAATTACATATTTTAACCTTTGACTCTCAAAAAACAAGGGGCTGCTTCTTTCAGAGTGAGATGGTACAATAGGTCGATCAGAAAAAGGGTCCTAAGTCTGTACCTCTTAATGTTCATTTTATTTTTTGCGTATTTCTCAACTCAGGAATTTTTTTAATTGAATCAAAATATTTAGCTCATAAATATAAAATTCATTTACCTACAGATTAATGCAAAAAAATAAATTTTCGTAATTATTTATTATTTCATTTAATAATAGTTAAAAAAATTTTGAATAATCAGGTAAACAATTTTCTTATGTAAATCTCTAAATGCACGTAACTTTTCAAGGCAAAATACAAATTTTGAACAAAATCCGTAGTATTGTTCTGAGAACATCCTGAACTCTAAAGAAGTCGTATACTTTAAATTCAATTTCTCTAAAACTATTTACCCGATTTTATTTAAATTTTATATTTTGGTATATAAAAATAATACATTCTTAAAATTGATATAAGGCTTTTGATCGCTATTGGGAGCATATTTGACACAGTGCGGCTACTCTCTGTATTTTGAGGCACAGAAATTCACATCCGTCCAAAACAGGTATGTTTATTCAGAGAAAGTATGTTTTTTGCGTTTAATTTTGCAACTTAAAATATCGGTTGCATTCATTAAGTAGCACATCTAAGATCACCCTTTTGAACCATTAAGATTGTGCCCTAGTACGTGAAGATCCGATCATTAAATCATAAGTTATCCAGGACACTGTACAATCGTACATGCACAGTCCATACATACCGCTATTCTATACATAGTAGGCAGCTAGATGTTTTTAAAACATTTTTCTTAGCAATAGTTATATTTCAAAGTCTTGTATTCATAGAAATATATAATTAAAATATTAATTAAAGAGGAATTTATTTATTATTATTTTTCAGATGCACCAACATGTAAAGGCATTGGAAAGTCACTGTACGGTGTTACAAGAGGGGAAAGCGTGAATATTACTTGTGAATTAGATGCTGATCCAGATGATGTCATCTTTCGTTGGTCCCTAAACAATTCGGTTGAAAATGTAGAATTGATGAACTTTACTTCCAAAAAAATTCGTAGCATTCTTACGGTAACTCCAAAAGCTCTATTGGATTTCGGTGTGATTATGTGCTGGGGGACAAATGCAGTTGGTGAACAAAAGGAACCATGTGTGTCTAGGATTATTCAAGCTGGTATTTAATATTTAATTTATATAAGGATACAGAACGAAACATTATACGATAAATTTCGTATAATGTTTTATTAATTATTATTTTAAATGTTTCTTAAATTTAAAAAGAAATATTAATTTTAATAATTCAAAGTTATGAAAAAAGGAAAATTTAGCAAGTGTTTTTTTTTTTTTTTTTTTTCATTAGGAGGAGTTAAAGTTAGCATGTGCAAATTTATTCTCTTTTCATTTTTAAAATAAAATTCGTATTTCGGAGATGTTTTAATTTTGATGTTTTTTTTTCAAAATAGATACGAATTTATTGCTTTTGATACGAACAGCATCATACATCAAGTTAGATTCCATACAAACCATTGGATGTTTATTTATCTAACCAAAGACTCAAAAGCTCATCTAAGAGCATGTTTGATAAAAAATTACTGAAATACATCCAGAGTATTGATACTTAAGATAGCTTTATAAAAATTAATATAATTTCTCCCCATAATTTAAAATGTGTCTTGAATTTGCATTGGTGATAAAATGAGTAAAATATTAATTAACTACATTTGAAAAAAAAGATAAGCATAACTAAAAATATATTTTCATACGTAGAGTATATTTTTGATTAATATCATTTTTATTACTACAATTTTGACCAAATTCGTTAATTATTTCAAATCACCAAACTTGAGTAATCAACATATTTAATTTAAATCTCTTTCATGGTTTCAAAAAGGAAATTGCTTCTACCTAGAAAAAAACATGTATTAATGTAGTTTCCAAATCAATAATACACATTGGTACTATTCATAATATTCAATTGTATCACATGCAGCATTTCTGTTTTAAAATGGTAATGTGTTAACGCGAGTAAACATTTCAAAATATACATTATAAAAAAGTCTTTTTTTTTATCCCTTTTTTCATCCAGGTCCACCAGATCCTCTGCGGAATTGTGTGATTGCAAACAGAACGCAAAACTGGATTTTGGTAGAGTGTGAACCTGGTTATAATGGTGGCTTACCACAAAAATTCCATCTGGATGTCTATAATTCTGCAGTTGATCATCTTCATTTTAATCTCACCAATGATGAGTATCCTACTTTTTCCGTTACTAAGCTTTCTCCGAACACGCCTTTTGTACTAGTTGCATCTGCTTCAAATGAAAAAGGACGGAGTAATTCTGTTGCGCTACTGGGAAGCACACTTTCAGTTAGAGATGAAGAGCAAGGTTGGTAAATAGATAAATCAATTTGATAGATAAGCTCTTTCATTTTCAAAGATATGATTAAATAAACGCTTTTTATAGATTAGCAAAATTTAAATGAATAAATATTGAAAAGCAAGCAATTGGTTTTGGAAAATATTTATGTTTGCATCTACCTTTTGATGATAAATAGCTAACTATTTTTTATTTTATTTATATGATTCAACAATCGTCCCTAACTATTGCACACATTAAATAAATGGATAATTCAACAAATCATTAATCATAAAAAGAAAAGGGATGGGGTAATTTTATTGCACTACTGGGAAGCACCCTTTCTGTTAGAGATGAAGAGCAAGGTTAGTAAATAGATAAAACAATTTGATAGATGAGCTTTTTCATTTTCAAATATATGATTAAATAAACGCTTTTTATAATTCAGCAAAATGTAAATAAATATTGAAAAGATAGCCATTGGTTTTAGAAAATATTTTTGTTCGCATCTACCTTTTCATGATAGATAGCATATGATATTGTAAATGATTTATAAGCATAATCTACAAAACTGTCATTTAAAACATGTTCTGATAAAACTCATAACTGTATTCCCTTACATGTACTTATTTCATTAATTTTTTATAACTTTTATTTAGATTTTACTAAAAAATTAAGAAAAAGTTTAGTCGCTTTATTAACGTAAAATTTTCGTTTAAAAATAGACCGAACAATTTTTATAGATTTCATATTTTGACTTTAATATTTTGTTCTAATACTACTGTAGCAGCATCGAAAACAGTGTTTAACAATTATCTATATAGAATTTTATTAAAAAAAAACAAATATTATTTTTACACATTATCTTTTCAGCCATGAAATTAATTACTTTGTACATTTTAAATTATCTAAAAAGTTAAGTTAAGGAGTAAAGATTTAAGACATTACTTCCGTGAATGGAAGACGAACAATGTATCGAAATCCCGGAAAAAGTTTTGAGAGTATTTTTGTAATGTATAAATACGATTTTCTACTTGTATTTTTTATTGATGTTTATAATAATGGTGGCAGTTTTTTAATATTAATAAATTTTAAATTTATCTTTGAAATAGGCTCTCAAATTTCTTAAAGTTTTTAGTATATAAAGGAACTACTTTTCTTTAACTTACTCAAATTCCATGAAAAATTTAAGTTTTTACATAAAATTGCTGAAATTTCTTTCGAAACTCTCATACATTTTTTCGTAATTTTTCCTACATGTTCTTCAAATTTTATTAAAAGGAAGTTTTGTTTTTCGGTCGAGTTTTATATTAATATGCTGCCGAATAATTTTTTCCCTTTGAGTTACATCGAATTATTTAGGTGCTTTATTTATAATGTCCAAACAATTTTATTATTTGAATTATAGAAGGTTTGTCAGTAGTTTAAAAAAGGTTAACAATAGTAACCTTTATAGTTTATATGGATTTGTAATAACAAACAACTAGTTTCTGTCTGAAAATCTAAAACTATTTCAAAAATACATTGTAATAAACCGAAAAAATCTATTTATTGACTTTTCAGACCGATATATTTAAGACATTGAAATACCATGTAATATGTATAGATAGGGGAATTAATTAAATAGCGAACAAAGGAATTAAAACATAACCTTTCAAACACCAGAGGGAAAGAGGAAAATAGGAAGGCAAAAAGGTTTGATAGAGTAAAAAAATGGCTAAAGGAATTACGAGTTAACAGATGGAAAAATACAGCATCACATAGATCTAGATGGAGTATACTGATTGAGATGGCTTCAGCCGATAACCGGCTGTATTGCCTAAGAAAAAGAAGAAGGGGATCAAACCAAAATCATACAAAAAATTACAGTTTAAATTAGCACATCCCCACATAAATATCGAATGAAGATAATTATACAAAATTAGGTTCAACAGTTATGGCCCGATAATAATTATTATACAACCGGAATTAATTTTATTTTTTTATTTTATTTCAGAAGCTGCATTTATGAGTCGATTCACTCTATTAGTTGCTGTAACAATTGCAGCACTTAGCACTTTGTTGGCGATAGGCGTAGTCGCATTGGCACTTGTTCAAATACGAAGAAGGAGACTCCGAAAAGGTACTAATCAGTCATTCCACTCATGATTGAATATGTGAAGTATATTCCGTGTTTTGGAAAGAGAGAGTTTTCACCTATACATTAATATGATTAACTATTAATATTTTCTGTTTCATTTTGAATATACATCGAAAGAAATTACAGTTGTTTTTCGGTCACTTTTCAGGGCGTATTTTTTGCTTTAGTTAATTTTAAATGATAATAAATGTTTTAAGTTCGCGTAATGAAAATTGCATTTATCACAGGCATATATTAATGTATCGATACATTAAAAATGCATAAGGTTTTTCTTAGCTCCTAGAGATTTTAGAGAGTAAAATATTTAAATTATTAAACTTTAAGAAATGCCTCGTCAAAACTTTTTTTCGTTGTTTAGATTCCGTTTTAAGTGATTAAATTTAATTTAAAATGACATTGTTTTTTAAAGAAAATAAATATGTGTATTTTTTATTCATCAAATAATGGTTGAAATCATAATTCCTTAATATTATCAGTAGACATTTTTTATCAGTAATAAAGCAAGTTGTTAATTTCTAATTTATCATATTATTACATGAGAAAAAGTGACGTTAAATGTGACATTGCCTCGTGCATATGACCTTTCTTTATATAATTTAGCATATTGACTGCAATTAGCATTTTACATCAATTTTTTGGAATTAAAATAAATTTATATTTTGAATACTTAGAGGTAACAATGTGCCAATATTGTTTCAGATGAATTTTCCATTGAAGAAGAAACAGAAAAGTAAGTTCACTTATTTAAATATTAATCCAATATTTTCAGCTAACCTCAGTGGTAAAATATCTATAACGTTAACTTTCTTCCGAAATCTCAATGGTGTTCCTTTTATAAATGTGAGATAAACAGCATATGCTGATTTCAAAAACAAATGAATAAAATTTAAATTTTGAAAATTTAAAAAGGAGTTACTAAAGTAATGATTTAGAAGATTAACGGAAACTTTTATGTCATTTTCTGATTTCTACTTCGAATAATAAAGATATAAGTAAGGAAATTAATTGATTATTTATGTCATTGATTGTTATTCCTCCTTTTTTACCAAGTATTAACTTTAGCTCACCGCACATTTGAGCTTAACATATATTTTTATTGATAGGAAAAAACAAATTTTCTCAACACCTTTGAAATTAAAAGCAAATAATGAAATGCGTTAAATAAATAATCCCAAGATGTTTAAGCGGAATGATATTAATTGATTAAAAACTTCATTCGCTTTAAAAACATACAAATAGGAAATGTCAGTCAACATTTTATTTGCATTTTACCCTGATTTGCCTCTCTAGGCCACTGCGGTTTTTCTTGTTCTATTTTTTATCTTTTTTTTCAGTCTCGGCTACCGTGATTTTTCTAGTTTTTTTTTTCATCTCATATTTTTTTTTTCATTTCTCGTTTGATTCGTAACTTTTTCTATTTCACTTTTGCATCCTCTCATTGACGACCTTGAAAGCGGGTGCCAACATGTCGACTTTCATTTCCGATTTGCATGATTTTGAAGCGAATGATGTTTTTAATCAAGTAATGAAGTGCATTATTTATTTTTACTAAGTCAAAAGGGAAAAAAGAATTATGAATCAGATTTCAAAAGAAAGGACATAATATTTCTGCCAAAAATTATTGCAGTTGATGTTTAATTTTTCATTTCATACATTTTTTTCAGAGTTCAGAAAGCAACAAAGAAAAAAGTTGTTGAAGATGTTACTGAATTTTCTGTCGCATGTCCAGATGTGGTGCCACCAAACAATGGTATAAATTTTAGATCCTTACAAACTATTGAACATACGCCTTACATCTATTTTCACGCATCTGTTTTCTTTTTCTTATGGAAATTTCATCGTTGTTTAGATATTTCAGACAATCAGAAATTCAGATTCCAATTTTCTTTAGGAATAAATATTCATTAAATACAACTGAGATTATAAACAGGCAAACATATATAGCAAGCAGTTGCTCCTGCCAAAAAAAATATGAAAACTGATAAATGTCGGTTTAGGAACACTTAAAAACCTGGGGTTTGTTTCCAAAATTTTTTCCATTTTTCTTACATTATATTATTTGATTTGCATAATATGGTATAGTTACAATTTTGAATTCCTACGCCTGTATTTACATCCCACTTATGCAGTGAGGATCTAGCTAAAGGGAAGGCTAAAGGGAAGGTCAGTAAAGCGAGGATGGTTGCAAGATGTTTTAGTAGTCTATTACATGCAATAATAATTTTTTTTACTTTTAACGATATAAAGCCTTAATTTAAATAACAGTTTTTGGCATGTTCTGTTCATTTCGCGATTTATTTAAGTTCTAAACATGCTTCTAGATATATATCAGTTTAGTATTTTTTTCAAATGTTAACACCATTTTTTTTCCTTTTTTGTATTTAAATAGTTACATACCTTTTTGAGAATGCCTGTGAATAAAATTAATTGCATTAAAAATAAGAATTTTTTAAAATTATGTTTAAAAGTTGAACTATACAAAAATATAATACATCAAGATGAAAATATAAAATGAGAATAATTTTACTTGGCGGAAAGTAAGAACTATAATTTAAATAAAACTTGATAAAATTTAAACATAAAAGTATTTATTAACTATCGTTAAACTACTGAGCGCATTACTTTTTGCTTTAATGTTTATTGTTTTACTAGCCGCCTAAGGCGGCCAGCTGTCCGCCACGCTGAAGGTTTTCACAAATAAAGTTTTTTAAAACATAGCAGGAAATCTGAAGATTAGTGGACAATTAAAGTGTTCCTGTCCTGCAATTTTGTCTTCATATCCAGTTCTGCTGCAGATGTGTTATAGCTCTTGAGGATGTTTGAAATTATATAGCTACAACGCTTAAGAAA